TCTAGTTTAGTTCACTCACTTTACATCCGGGTTTTTTCCCCTAGGCAAAGGGGCGCCCGCAGCACACCCTCGTTCCTTAGGCAAAGTGAAATAATTCTCGCCGCACCGTCACGTCAAAGTAGTCCGCCCGCCCCGAGCGCCACCGCGGGCCCCCGCCCGTCGCCCCGCCGCCCCCGGGGGGAGTCGGGGGGGAGCCCGGGCGTCCAGGGGGCCTCGGGCGGAGGCGCGGGGGCCCGGGCCGGCCGCCGGACCCCTCAGCGCGGCGGCCCCCTCCCGCCCCGCGGTGCCCCTCTCTCCCCCGGTGCCTCCGCTCCCCCCGCCCTCGTCCCCGCTTTCCCAGCCCCAGTCAGTCCCCCTCGCCCGGCTCTCGGGAGCGGCGGGGGCGCGCACGGCGGCGGCGGGCCGGCGGGGCCGCGCGGCGGGCTCCCGCGCGGGCGAGTGTGTCTGGGCCTGGGCGGAGGGATCCCCGGGCTGAGGCGGCGGAGGTGCTGCGGCCCGGGGCCGGGTGGTGAATGGGCTGGCGGTGCTCGCTGCTGCTGCTGCGAGGAGGAGGAGGAGGAGGATGAAGAGTTGGGCTTGTTTGTCTCCCACAGTTTCTCTCCTGCTGCTCTGACCCCCCCTCCTGCTCCGGCCCGGAGCCGAGTGTGTCCCTCCTGGAGGAGGAGGAGGACCCAGTGCCTCCCCCCACCCCCTCCTCCCCCACCCCCTTTGCCTGGGGAAGAGGAGGAAAGAAACAGCCCAGAGAGAGAGAGAGTGAGTGAGTGAGTGAGAGAGGGAGCGGAGAGGAGAGGCGAGGAGGAGGAGGAGGGAGCAGGGAGCAGGGAACAACCTACCATTTTAACACACTAAGATCTAAAAAGTGCGAGAGGCCCAGAGCAGCAGCAGCAGCAGCAGCCCCGGCTCCTTCCCTCCCTCCCTCCCCATGAAGAAGAGTTCCCTCCTCCTCCTCCTCCCGCTTCTCCTGCTCAGAGTTCCTGCCTCCAGCTGCCAGGGGGGACAGCCAGCCAGCAGCAGGAGGGTGCAGTATCCCAGCTTTTCCATTCTCTCTTCTCACTCTGCTCTCTCTCCCTTTCTGGAGGAGCTCGCTCTCCCCCTCCCCCTCCCCCTCTCCCCCCGGCTCTCTCCCTCTCTCTGTCTTGTCTCTGGTGTTTGTCGAGGGGAGGAACAGGGGCTGCCTGCCTGGAGTTTGTTGTGGGGGGAGGGGAGGGGTGTGTGGGAGGGAGGAGGTAAAGGGGGGGTGTGCTCGCCAGGACCCCGCAGTCAACTTGAGATTGGAGCCATAACTTCCCCTTCGGGCGCCCCCCTGCGTGCCCTTCCTCTTCCTCCCCCCCTAAAAAAAAGACAATGGGAAAACCTGGGCTCCCCCTCTTCCTCCCCTCTGCCCTCCACCCCTCCCCAGGATAAATGGGAAGAGAGTTTAT